TCATAGAGTAGAGTGGCCGGAGGGGTGTGAGGTTTTTTTTTTGTGGGGGGGTCTTCTGTTTCTCTTTCTCCTACCACAAAAAAAAAAACTCTATTTTTTTTTTACAAGAAAAGAGGGGTATATAAAAACCCCCGGTCGCGCGGGGGGGGGGGGGGGGGGGGTGCGCACCCCCTGCACCCTTCCCCTAGATCCGCCCCTGGTATCTGAAGCCAATGTCAACCTCCAAACAACTTTATTGTTTGGAGAATAACAAAATGGTTATACAAAATAGTGAGTAAATGCACTAATTCAGAACTGGTGCTTGGTTTTTCTACAGTCCTCATTTAAAGAACGACTCAGTGAAAAGTAAATCATAATCGTGTATAATATTCACCTAATATGCAACAGAAGTAGTATCAAGAAATGAAACTATAGCGTAACTTACTTGGTGTTAAAGTAGAACCAACGGCTTTCCCATCGTCAGAACACATTCCAAAAACAGCGATTAATGTTGTCACTCCGATCACCGCATAAAATCCATAATAAACAATTTCTTGAACACTGATTCGTCGCAAAAAAGCATCGGAGAGGAACTTCATTATACTCGACTGGGTATTTTAAAGTGGCTCACGGAGCCCTAAAATTAATTATTACTGTTTTTCGTAATAGCAACATTACTAAACAAACTCTTATATCTTGTCTTGATATAAGCAGGTGAAATCTATCAAACGCGTTGTCTTAAATAAACAGTTTTTCCGTCTGGGAAGAGCAAAGGAAGTGATTATTGGTCGCAGATAACGACAATATTTCACCACAATTAATATCACTGTACTCTTCTGTTAACAAACGTATATATAAAAATAAAGAATATAACTACTGGGATGAAATTCTGTACTTTTTCTTGGGTACTTAAAAAAGTTTCTTTATTACTTACTTCCAAACAGACGATGACCGTCCATATTACGGTAGTCTACCCGGTTAGGGCTCTCTTCGTTGCCGTGGAAACTGCAATGGCGCTTGCAAAAGGGCGGCTGGTCGTGATCCGGTAATATCCTTCTGGATACAATTCGAGCACTGTTCGGCAGTTTTCGCGGTCAATATTCATAGAGATCACCAGAAAGTGCTCTTATCTTGCAATATCTAGAAAAGTAGTACAATTCTTCTACAAGTAAACAACTAGAAGGCGTCTATCCGCTCCTCAAAGATCAACCAATGGAAATGACGTGTGCTGTCCAAAAATCTGGAAGATAATTGGTGGCACGGCGGGGTGTGTTTATGGCCCACAAAGCATACTTTTCATGCGTTAATGGCTTCCATTGCCCTCACTGCACGTTTTGCGATTGTTGTACGGTAATTGTATCTTTACAAAAATCTTTAGATTATAGTGTAATTTTCATAGCGCGTGTTAAATCTTCACCAACTTTCTTTCTCTGGATTATCTTGATTTATCTCGTTGCTCTTGAGGGATAAAGACTTTAAGTTTGCTTTACACTTCCCGCAGGTTCTCACCTGTTATTCTTTCTTTGAAAAATGTACCATTTTCAAAACAGAGCTCCCGGAAAAAAATAAAAGTTTAGCGACTCGTAAATTACCGGCAAATTAGTAAAATTCCTGTCAGCAGAATCTAATTCATCTTTTAAGTGCCAGGCCAAGCCTTGTACAGTATTGTAAAATACTGCAGTAGCAATAATTAAATTCCTTAAAAGTTTGAGTTAATGTTTCTCTTTCTATAATTTATAAGAGATCTTTTAGGTGGAGGATCATTAAGAACTTTAACTTGCGTCTGGCGAAGACAGACAAAAAGTACCAAGAATATGAAGTTTCGAATTGTTTATTTCTTTTAGCTTCCCATTACTTCTCACCCTTGGTTAAAACTAAAAAATACGACGTGTTTGGTAAGTTATACTTCACAATTATCAATACTACTTTATTTTCTGCTACTTAATTCATGATTAAAATAGTAGATCAATGTTAGTTATTGCAAATTTTACTTTATCCCTGAAACAGCTAGATCACGCAAGGGCAACTTCACTCCGCATTTGCGTGAGTTAATAATTTCCCGCTTACAGTTACTGCTCACGTGAGTGAAAACGCTCATAATGTACGAAACCCCCACTTGTACATCTTAACACTTCATATTCATTCAAGGTCTCTGTGCAGTAACAACAGCACTGTTTGCCGTCAAAATATAATACAGATCTTTGTGTTTTAAAACCTTTCTAAGAAGCATAAATAAAATAAGAAAATAATTCTTTGAATTTTTGCAAACAAATACTTTAGAGATTAATACAAAACGCTCAAAACATAAGCGTCAAAAAACTAAAGAAAGCGTAAGTTATATTAATACATATTAGGTCTACTTTACTTAGAAATGTAAATCTGCCATTCTTGTCATCTAGTTAAAATTATTGCCTCCTGTCACCGCAAGATGGCACCGACGAGTACCAAAATGTCAAAGAAAAAGATGGCAATGAATAATGAATATACCCATAAACGAGCAAACAGGAAGTCTAAAATCGTGACTAAAACGAGAAAAGTGGCAGAACAATGAACCACGAACAGCTCCGTTCATTTTCGTGCCTTTTACTCAACTAAGATGCGTCCCATTGGTGTCGCTTCGTAGAGGAAAACAGAAATAAAAAGAATTTATAAACATGAATAACTTCCGACCGGATTTTGGAACCTCTGCGTGGTGCTTTCATTTAACATTTTCATTTGACAAACGCCTTCTGTAGACCTCTTTTTAATTAGCTTCCAATTTGAAAGAGTACGAAAAATAAAATGTTTTATCATTGAAACGTTGTCTACTTTTGGAAGAAAGTAAAACTGTTGCCGGTTTAGTCTCTCGAATAGCAAATAATGAAAGAGTTTTATTGGTCCTTTTGAGGTCACGTGCGAGACTAAGTCGGTGGGAGTCGAATTGCACTATGGGACTGTCCCAGAATGCAGTTCGACATTAACACAACCCTACCTGACAAGAGGCTAATAGACAACGCATCTATATCTTACTCACAGTAATAAAAAAAATTAAAGACTATTAATTTTTATCTGTTTGCTTTTTTTCCTCAGTCTCATCCTGTGCTTCTTGAAGCGGGACGTCTTCACTTACAACGCCATTAGCAGAATAGTAGACATACTTGTAAAAGTAAGACATTAACATGAACACGAGCATGACCAATGCCAACAGTCCGGCGAAGAAGAAAAACTCGTTTGCCTAAAAAAAAGGGGAAAAGCAATCAGAAAAAGTTTTGCCAACAGTTTCACTGCATATAACTTTACCTTACGTAAAGTAGAAGGGTGGAAGAAGGAATAAGCAAAAAGGGTTGTAGGGCACTTAGAGGCGAAGACGCCTACAGGAGACCTGTGGGCCTAGGGGTTACGCTTCCTCTCCAGTTAACATGAATGATTTAAATTGCTGAAGGCCTTTTCACTAGTCAAAAGACGCGGATCGGCTAGGGTAGAAACTAGTATAGGTTCTGACAAAACATGATAGTTTACACGTACAAGTTTTTTAACGCAGCCGAAAGAAAAAGGCATGATATTGAAGAGCACCGGGCAATTGGGTTAAAGACTGTTTACGCGTCTTTTTTCATGACCAATATTGATAAAACCCTAGTTCTATTGCAAAAAAGATTGGGGGCATTAGACCTTGAAAAGGAAACGAAAATGTAGGTACAGAAACGATTTTTATCCATTTCATTCCAAAAGAGGTCCAAAGGCGCTTATGCATGGACTCTTTTGGAAAGGTGCGGAGAAAATTGCACATTAATGTTATCCTAGCCGACCACCTTTTTATCCGAGCATTCCATTTTTTTCGCCCTTGTAAACGGCGCGCGTTTAGTATCGTTTTAAACTGCTAACGCATTAGTGAAAAACTTTAATTGGTGCGGACACAGCCTCAACTGTTTTAAAAACAAACCTAGCATCACCCACGTTCCCAGGGAAAAGGTCTAGGAACGAGGCCGAAGCAAGTGTCAACTTGAACCTACCATGTTGTCCGTCAGACGTGCTTCAGCAAATATAACAACAATAGCGTTTCCAACGGAGACAGTCAGCAACCAGCCAGCCATAATGCACGACTTCATGCTAACGGGAGCCTGGGAGAAAATTAACAGAGCATGGCAAATGAGCGACGTAAAAGGCTTATTTTACACGCTAAATCGGCCATTTTTTCTTGATCGATAAGACGGCGCGTATATTCACGCAATTATTTTAGTACAGTGGGACCACTCTCGGTTGAAGGGGTGAAAGTGATAGCTTACCTGAGAATAGGCGAATTCCAGTCCAGTTATAGAAAACAGCACTTCTCCTGCAGTTATGGTGAGATATTGAGGAATCTGCCATAACATGGAGATTGACATGGGANAGACGTGCTTCAGCAAATATAACAACAATAGCGTTTCCAACGGAGACAGTCAGCAACCAGCCAGCCATAATGCACGACTTCATGCTAACGGGAGCCTGGGAGAAAATTAACAGAGCATGGCAAATGAGCGACGTAAAAGGCTTATTTTACACGCTAAATCGGCCATTTTTTCTTGATCGATAAGACGGCGCGTATATTCACGCAATTATTTTAGTACAGTGGGACCACTCTCGGTTGAAGGGGTGAAAGTGATAGCTTACCTGAGAATAGGCGAATTCCAGTCCAGTTATAGAAAACAGCACTTCTCCTGCAGTTATGGTGAGATATTGAGGAATCTGCCATAACATGGAGATTGACATGGGATGCACATCCGCGAACTTGATAGCGATGAGCTAAGAAATAGTTTTCAAGGCACCTTGTAAGTATACTCATCTTATAGGCCATTTCCGAGTTCCAAAATAAAAACTCATTTTCATATCAATGGTTTCGCACTTATCCTCGCTTTGAAAGTGAGATTTTTTGGAACTCGAGAAATGGCCCATTGAACCGATAACAACTTACTTCTGACCATCACACCGGCCCTAAAATGGAAACTTATGGCAAAAACAACGCAATGTAAAATGAAAAAGCGAAAGCGCGCGAAAAGAACTGAGCGCGATTTCCGGTGATCAATTTGCCGCTTTGCTATTGGTCAAGTCGGTTTTAGATGTGCATGCGCAGTCGTCATTGTCGTTGTGTTGTCTTTGCTAAATCAGTCCTATATCTAGTAGACGTAAGACCTCTTTTAAGGCCTCAGAATTAAATAAACAACAGACACGGTGCCCTCCCGCCCCACAAGAATAGCAGGTACAAAGTTCCTCCGCTATAAGGCGTTTTTGAGCGACGCACGTCAAGTGGAAGTGAGGTCTTTTTCATTCTAAAGCACCTTGACGCTACCAAATGTTTATTTCTAAGCGTCAATACTATTATAGCGACGATTTATACAAAAAATAGGGGAAACCACTATCCGAAAATGAAAAAAGACCATTTCCGGTTCACGTGCATTGCTCAAAAACGCCTTTGCTAAAGCTCAATATTGTCACAATGCCAGAAGTGATGGAGGCTGGCAGATTTCATACCGTCAACGTTTTGACATGAAAAAAAAATGCACTTTCTTTGAGTGTCAATGTATTTAGTACGAAAGTGCTAATTGGGACACTATATTTTACGTCTCCTAATTGAGATGGGACCGCCATTTTACGTGGTCATCCGAGCCACGCGAAGGTCCAGCCGCCTGCAGGGCAAAGGGAGCACCTTCATTTCTCAGTTATTTAAAGACGCTGAGTATTGGTCCGGCCCCGGGAATCGAACCCGCGACCTCCCGCGCACAGTAAAGCGTTCTACCGAAAGAGCTAATCCTGCCGCTTAAGCTTGGCGCCATTTGACAGCTTAATTTTGCTAAGGCAAAAAGAGTCGCAAGCAAAAAGAACTTCATTATTTTGAGAAAACGGAAAAGTTATTTTTACACAAACTGACCATTTTATAAAATCCTTGCCCATGTTTCCACTTAACATGAATTGAAATCCCACACGGCATAACAGTTTGGAAACGAAAACAAAATGTGATTGACCGGGCAAAGCCACAAATGTTGTGACAATACAAGGCCAACATTGTGACAATGATGGAACTGTTTGATCAGGAATTTACGCAAACGAGAAAACTAAATTCTAACCTTGTCCTTTTTGCTAGGATTTGGTTGAATCACAACAGAGTAGACACCGCCACTGGCAAAGTACATTTTCTGATCCAAAAGTGCTTTATCTGTTCCCGCTTCCATGACCTTTAATGAATACCTAACAAGGAAAAAGATTATTGTTTGGTTCAGATATTTTTTAAAACTTTGAGCACTTTTCCAATCCAACATAGAAATGAGAAGGGGTACAGAACGGTCAATTCACAAACAACGAATACCGCGAAAGGTTAACCGATAGCTATTTTTCGGAGGGAGAGAAGCTAACCGAGTCTTGAATTCTCGGCATTTATCATTAAGGTTCCGTTCTCGGCTCCTCATCAGGCAACCCCTTTTGCAACAGTTATTGATGCCTACGGAGGAGGCTAGTCCCGGTCAATTTTAATGAAGTTCAATTCTCGAGGAACACATCCAAGCTTTGAAAGGTCCTGAAAGAATATATTCGTCGTCGTGTGTTTACGTTGTCAATAAACCTCCGCATTTGTAATGTTACCTTACTCGTGCAGTCCTTAAGATAATACGTTCTTCATTTTCAATTGTCTAAGATAAACAAACACAACCTCGATTTCTTGTATCGGCAGATTTTATCACTTGTTTGCCCCCTGAGACACCACGTGACATTGCTTTTAACCCATCAGCCCTTTAGCGCGTGCAAAGATGGCGGGTATTATGATTAAGACCCTGTTTACACGGAGTGGGGGACCCCGGTCTAGTGGGGTAGGCTTCTTTTGTTTTGTGTCCCCCAGAGCGTGAAAACAAAAGAAACCAACCCCACTAACACCGGGGTCCCCCACTCCATGTAAACAGGCCCTAAGGTCTATTGTATAAGGCACGTGTAATGCACGTGCAAAGTTGATGACTTGCTTATTAAACCTGATGATTTCAAAAGTTGAAGCAGCCGTCGCCGTCGTAGGCGCGGTAAGGTACTCCATGTATGGGAACATATATTGCACCTAAGGTAAAGTTTAAAGGTAGTTGCGTTAACGTTGAAGTTGTGGTACAGTATATGGCCCTGTACATAAAATACCTACCGCAAAGCTCGATTATCGGCCGCTGTTCAGGAAATGAGACCTTGCTCTGGGACCTCGAGAGAGAAACCGAGCCACTCGCAGTCGAGTCGAGTCGTGGTTGCTTTAACTTCTCATTGACAAAAAAGCTGTTAAAAAGCCTGCTTCTGTATAGCATGCGAACACAGACGTATTTCCTGTCATTGCTTCTCTCCACCCAAAAATTTCGTCGGCGAACCCCACCCGCCAAACGATTTGTGACGTAAACCTTTTGTTTTGTTGTCGACCAATCGGAATAGAGGATAAAAGGAAAGCTCGAGTGTCTCCTCGCGACCTCGCGAGCTGGCGTGGGGAGAGAAGCGTCATCGGTCAATAACAGCCGTTTAAAAAAAGAAAGATCCCCAAAAAAATTCATGTACAGTTAATTACTTTTCCGCTTACCTCTTTGACTGAAGTTTCTTATAGTCAGAATCTAAGAAGGTCCCAACTCCTTTGTACGTTAACGATTTGTTAAGATGGATATCCACTGAGGAAGCTAAATCTCCACCCGTGAACAAAAACCTGAAAAAAATGAAAGGAAGTCCAGTTTCAACGGAATGGAAAAAATTTAGCTCGCATATTAATAGGCCATTTTACAGTTATGGATGAAGCGAGGCTAACGGTGAACTTGTTTAGATACAAACCTTCCTGCTTTATTATGTAAATCAAGTTATTCTTATGCTAACTAGTATTTTTCAAGGGCAATTTCCATAAAAAAGCAAAGGAGGTTTGTATGAAAACAAGGTCACCGTCAGCCTCACATTCACTCGAAGGCTGAGGTACTAAGTCCACAACTGTAAAATGTTCTATTCTTCATCGTTTAGCGTTCAATACTAAACCAAAGACTGACGAATGCTCCCGTACATTTAAGTCGGTGTGATATCTAAACAATTTTTACCGCGTCAATAAGGCGTGGATGAAAATGCACAAGTAATGTTATCGATATATTTTCACCAAGCTCTAAAGTGCAGCGTGAAGAGTTTGAGTCGGTGAAGTGGCGAATTCAACTCTTGGGCAAAATTCTCGTCTTATCCAATGACATTTTCTGTCTTACCTAACTTTTGTTACTCCTCCTTTAAGTGGCTCGACAATATCCTCCAACTAGAATTAAGAAAAGAAAAAATTAACCACAGCATGACTCTAAATTTAAAGTACGCAGAAATATCAATAGACCTTTCACTTCCCGTAAGACAACGTGATTAAAATACACATTTCCCCGGATGAGCCTCGACTTCAAGCTAGTTCCAGATCGCTACCGAGGATACAAATACAACCAATCAAGCTAGCATCATACAGTTTAACTTACATTCTTTCCAATCAAGGCATTCTTTTCACTTCCAACAACGAAAGAAGAGGCGCCTTTGTCTTTAAGTGTGACATCGAATGAGTCCGTGAGTTCACTCGCGCAGTTCACTGTCTTCACGTTTATGTTACTCAGTGTAACAGGCACACGATAATACTCCGAAGCCTTTAAAGCAAACAGTAGAGACCTTTAGTTTCGAGCACGAGAACGACTATTAGTAAGAGATTTGATTTAAAGTTTTTTCGAGTATTGTCAAAATATAGACACCCCCAGGGTGCAAAGAAAATCATTTTTACAGCTTGCCATTCGGTTAAGCTGAAGCTAACATTTACTAGCCCAGACCTCATTTCAACTAGCCCCAAAAGCTTTTTGAAGAGCAGAATTGATCTTAGAGTTCTTCTATTACTCGAATTCCTCAAGAAAGATCACTTGCCCGTCGGGCAAGTTAAAAACAGAAGTCACTAGCCCGATAGCAAAATCCACTAGCCCCGGGCTATCGGACACCACTTTCTTTGCACACTGCACCCCGGAATTCTTCATTGTCCTTTTTTTTTTACCAGAAAAGTCAATCCCAGAAGTCAGTGCAAGCCTTGTTTCGTACTAGTTTCTAAAGTGGCAAATACACCAAAAAATCCCTACCTGCATCGCGGGTATCTCAGCATTCAGACCAAGGCCGAAAGCATTGATGGGACAAACACCTGCATTTATAATACGAAGATTGGCAAAAGAACTTGGTGCCTCGTTAACTGCCACGCGGCTGTTCTGTAAAAGAACACAAGATCAGAGATTAACTCCGCTAAAAACAGTACAGTATAAGTCACATTGATTTCTTGACTGGTGAGAAGATAACCCCTTAGAAGACAAAATAGAGAAAATTCAAATCCCTTCATTACTTACTTGAATTGCTATTTGAACAAAGGCTGCCATCATAAATGAGAATGCTGCCAGCAGCATCCCTGCACACATACGCTGTAAAGGCCTGAAAAAAACAAGACAGCCAGAAAATTTAATTTTTTTGTACAATCCTGAAAACAGACAGCCCCATGTCAATGAACTACTGAAGAGGTTTAATTTTAATGGATGCACTAAAGGATTTCATCCACAGACTCAAAGTTAGAACTAATAAAAAGTGCCACAGGAAAGAACTGCTCAGAAGTTTTCATTTAAAGGGTCACATGAAAGGATTTCGTCTACAGACTCAAAGGTAAGGAGGAAGGTAAAATGCATCCATAGTTTACCTTACAAGTAGATTACATTTCTTCAATGTAGGATAAATAAGTGTCTCAAAGATTGGAATCATGATCAAAATAAAAACTGGATTGAGCGCCTGAAAAACAATGCAAAACACAGCAATTTTTATTTTTTGCCGATGGTGAGGTATATTGCAATCAAGTACAATTTACAACTGTAGATGTAATGCACTGCTCTGTGGCCAGGTAACTTAAATGTTACAACTCACATAAAGCCCTCTAATGTTAAAAGCTATCACAATGTTTATTGAAGTTAAACATACCTGGACTTGATCTGGCTTCAAAGTTCCAAATGCACCCTGCACGAAAGAAAAGAGGGTCATTTCAAAAGCTGTACCAATCAAGTAGAGTTGTTAAAAAAAGGTTTTTGTCAAGTTAAAAAAAAAGTCGCAGGGATACGAAACTAAATAGCCAACTTACAAGATCCCCATTCATTTCTTCAGCCTGGAGTGTCCAGCGTGAACCCTGAAAAAAAGGAAAAAAAGGCAAGTCAGGAATACTGAGTGAATTTCAGCTAGTAATCAGGGTTGGGTTTAAACTAGGGGCCAGCTCCGAAATTGCAAGTCAAGTCCAGTCCAGCCTTTTTCCTGCTTGTGAAATGTGCCTGCCACACTTCTTGATGACTAAATTGTTTAAAATATATCAAGGTGAGCTAGTTTCCCTTGTAGTTTCAAACATTCAAAGGACAAAGAAAAAATGCTTTCCTTAATCTTAAGGTGATTTCATAGTAAAAGAACCTAACATAGATTTTAGCTAAAACTTGGTACACTGATGTAACAAGTCAAGAAGATGATAAAAAAGTAATAAAAAGTGGGGGACACCGTGCTCGTTTTGACGTCACAATGCCGACAAATACCGCTATTTAGGACCCTTTTACAAAAACCGCGGGCAGCCCAAAACTAGACAAAAAGGAGAGATTTTTTCGATGATGCATGTGACATCAAACAGAATTTGACTTTAATGTATTGTTTATCCACTTACGTACCAGAAAAATGCCTTTTAATGCCCTTGTTTTTACTTTACGCTCCAAAGTAGAATTAAATTGGACGCGCGCTTTTCGACCCGTGATGGCTCAATC